CACTCAAATTCAGTCAATATTTTTCATATATATCTAAAATTTTATAAAATAACTTAAATTAAACTATTAATAATTAAAGAAAACATTTTTAAACTCTAAATTTTACATTTTAAAACTTTATATTACTTAAAAATGTTACAAATAATAATAAATATTGTTAACAAAATACATTTCAACTAAATTATAAAATATTATAGATATATAAAACATAACACAAAATAATAGTTTTGGATATACATGTTTATAACTCGGGTACAAATCGGTTCTTATCGGGTCGGGTCTATTCGGTCGGTTCTTTTCGGGTCCAGGTCTATTCGGGTCGGTTCTTTTTAGGTCTGGGTCTATTCGGGTAAAAGAAATTTAAACCCAATAGGTACTTATAAATTTTCGGGTCGGATTCGGGTCGGGTATTTTCGGGTCGTTCCGGTTCGGGTCTTCGGGTCTGGGTAAAATGTCCAGGCCTAACATGTGTCTTGTGTAGGGTGAGTATATATAATTAAAATATAAAATTTTAGTATTAAAAAATTTAAAATTTACATATAATTTTTTTTATATGTATTTGGAATTTTAGAATTTTAATATAGTTATCTATATGTACGATCAGAAACAATTATAATTAGAACTGTAGATCAACACTTGGAAATTGATGGATCCGGTTCAAAACTGTAGATCAAAACAATTGTCACTGGAAATGTAGATCAAAATTTAGATCAAAACATATAATTTAATAGGTATAATAATATCAGAAAATTATTTTTTAAATAAAAAATAATTTTATATAAAAGAAGTCAAATTTTAAATTATAATTATGTTTAAAATAAAATTATTTATTCATACGATATGAGATATATATATATATATATATATATATATATTAATATAAACACCTATTAAAATAAAATTATTTATTCACATTATTTTATAATCATTGTAACTTATTATAGAAAAAATATTTTAGACCTTGATCACAAATATTTATGTGAGATTTTTAACAATTTTATTAGTTTATACTCGTTTTGAAAATTTCAAAATAACAACATATATAAAAAAATATTAATTTTTTATTATATGATTAATGTAGTTGTGTAATTTATTTTAATAATAAAAATATTAAACAAAAATAATATAAAAATAGGTGGACAGACCGCACGCCTCTGCGGACAGTAATATAACTATACATTGCATAAAAAATGATATGAATGTATAAATGTATTGTAACTCTTTTTCTTTTCTATGTAGGAATTACATTTTTTCTTGTATATCTTTTTATCTTATTCATTTCATTTTTTTTTTGTTTTTTTAACACACATTCATTCTGTCTCTTTTGTATCTCTCTTCCCATTCTTTTTGTCTGTCATTATACTTGTTTCGATTGCTTGCCCTTTTCCTTTTTCTCTCTTGATCAAATAATCTTAAAATCTTTCAAACTTACATTCACTCTCTCACAATCATTTATATTCTCTCTTTCACCCCATCTTTATTATAACCCTCAATATTTTACTTTCAAACTTTTTCTATTTCTTTTTTGGTTACAAAATATTTACCAAATCTTCAAAACACTCTCACATAATATTAATAAATGATTTAATGATCTCACTTAGATTCAGTCTCTCTCTTATTTCAATCTCATATCCATGATGATCATAACCCTCACTCCTCATCATCAACATCTCTCCCTCTCTCTCCTGATTTTTATTTAGCTTTTAACGTAAAACTCACAATTGAACTCACAACAAATTAACCAAACAAATTCATTATTAATTTCTCTCCAATTTTCACACTATTTTATCAAATATTGATTCATTTGACCACGACTTTTATTAGCAAATAAATATTTTTTTTAAAAAATATTATTATTTTTTTAAATTACTTCAGTACACACCTAGTTTAAGTAAATCTGAGTTACTGTATTTCCAAAAAAATATGATTAACTAATTATATATCCTAAAAATATCTAAATTTTTAAATAATGTGATGTCATTAGACATAGATATGTAAAAATAACATGTTTCTATTTGTATAAATTTTGTTATAACTTTGTTATCATACATTTTAAACAAATTATTATACCGCAAAAAATACTTATCATTATTTTAAAATAATTTTATTTTAAATTTAATTTACATTATATTTTGCATTTTTGACATTAATAAATTTAGAACTTATCCTTATATTTATCTTCCTTGCTCAATTGTTTTATGTTGTATAAATACCTAAAACTAATTAGTTTACAATTATACTAATACGTAAAAAAATATTTTGGTATACAAATAAAAATGAGGTAGGAAATATATAAAATCACGAAGAATACAACAAAATGTTTTATTATTATTCACTCATGTTTTTTTTTATTTTTGTCTATTTTTTATTATTAAAAATTAACATGCCAATTTTATTATACCCAAAGCTATATGAATAGAATAACTCTTGTCTCGTATTAATATAAGTCAACTATAATGATTGATTTTTTTTTAAAATTATATATTTGGATATTTTAAATTTATTTGATATATTTTTAGAATATATATATAGAGTGGGTATAATTATTATTAGGTTTATATTTATTATTTCACTAAAAATATAACATATTTAAATATTTTTGGATCATCATTTTTGTCGGAGAGATTAAGATTTGCAAATATCCGTTTATACTTAAATGATATATATAATGTAATCTATGATAATAAATTGCTTCAATGAATAAATTATGTTAATTTGTTTGTATTTAAGATGTTTGGTTGTTTATTTGGTAAGATAGTTAGATAAGGTAATTATATTATTAGTTTCCTTTTAAAACCTTTAATTAAGTAAAGAAAGACAACATAGTGAGTGAACCTAGCATCACAAAGCTCCAAACACATGTCTGGGAAGCTAAAGCACCACAGAAGATGTGTCATCTTATGTGGCAGATCATAACAGGTCATGTGGCGGTTACCGATGTTTTAAATCATAGGCACATGCGATGTGATAACTTTTTTCCGCGATGTGGAGAACCGAATGAAACAATTGCACATGCAATCTTTCAATGTCCACCCGCCATACAAGTCTGGGCACTATCATCCATTCCAACCAGTTCAACCTTATTTCCGTCGCAGAGCACGTACGAGAACATGGATTATCTGTTCTGGAGGAAGAAGGACATAATGGAACCAGAGTTAGATAGGGACCCCTATCCGTGGCTAATATGGTACATCTGGAAGGCTCGGAACGACAAACTGTTCCGAGGAATTGATAGGGATCCTCTTGAATTAGCCAGGTATGCAGAAAGTGAGTGCCTTGCCTGGTTTCAAGCTAATGAGCAGGAAATGGTGGTAACGCAAGGGAACATAGGGACAGAGGATCAGGCCATAAGCCTAGGCGATCTCTGCTTGGTAGACGGTTCATGGACCTCTACGGATCAATTCTCAGGATGTGGCTGGAACTGGACGGATAGCAGAGGGAATAGTCAGTTAATGGGTATGCGAAATGTGTGTAGGGTGGAATCGGCTTTGCACTCTGAGCTGGAAGCACTGCGGTGGGCAATGGAGAACATGCTTCAACATTCGCCATGTCATAGCTTTGGGACGGATTGCAAGGAATTGATTACGATGCTCAGGAACCCGCATGATTGGCCTAGCTTCTCGACGGAATTGGAGAGATTCTTGACGCTGCGTGTTTGTTTCCCGGAATTTAAGATCTTCTATGTACCTCGGTCTCAAAACACTGTGGCTGATTCGTTAGCTAGGGCTGCTCGTTCTTTTTACCGTACTCTGTTGTTTGTTGGTTGTTCTATTCCAGTCTGGATTCCCAGACCAACTCAAGCTTGAGTAATAGATCAGCCGTTCGTTGTCAAAAAAAAAAAAAAATTAAGTAAAGAAAAATTCAAATACCAACAACCAATCAAATTAAGAGATTTAATTCTAAACTTCACATATGAATGACAACTAAGCAAAAATCACTAAAGTAACTTCTCATTTAATATATAGTAGGATATATAAATTGTTAACAAATATTTATTATTTAAAATCATTGATTGTCATATATATCTTAATCACATTAGATAATTCCATAGATTTTATTTAAGGAAATAATATACAGAAGATTTAGTTTGATATGTTATTTAGTTTGATATGTCAAGGTGTTTTAGAATTCTTCTAAATAGAACTTAGAAGCCATAGAGAATTACCACATAGGATGGAGTTTTTTTAATTAGTACAAATTTAGAGTTATAATTTTTTAAATGATCATCAATTAATATATAAGGGATATATATATTAATTATAGTAAACACAAATATGTAACACAAAAAGATTAATAGGCCTAAAAGGAAAGCCCATTAGTGATGCGAAACCCAGTTAGTTCGTTCTGTGACTGTGAGCTAGAAATATGGTAAACCTTGGAAGCGTTGTGGCTTTTCTTCCGGCGACCGGAAGAAAATAGATGACGACTCGAATAGCTCTGGGAGTAGGAGCTAATCTTCTGGGCCAACACTCCGCCGAGAGGAACCAAGAAGCTACTGTTTACGTCGGTGGTCTCGATCCCCAGGTTCTCTTTCTCTCTCTCTCTCTGTTCGTTTGTGCCACCCCTGCGCCTGAGGAGAAGTTATATTAGGGTTTCAGATTGATTTGGAGATTATGTGTGTGTGTTTATGAGTTTCTCTTCTATGTGATTTAGCTTTCTGAAGAATTGCTTTGGGAATTTGATAGAGATAAACCGTAAGTTCACTAACAATCACAAGAACTGATGTTCATGAAACAACAATCCTTACTCAAGAGTCGAAGATATCGCAAGAGAATCAATCTTCCAACTACTTTGAGAAATCCAGGTTTACAGAAATTGAGAGAAAAGAAGTTTGTTTACAAAATGATCTGAATGAATGAAAAAGAAAACTCCAAAACAGAGTAGAACAAGTTTGTTACTCTGTAACAAACTTTCTTCCTCGCCACCGTACACGTGTAGTCATCTCCTTCCTCCTTTTATTTAAATCTTCCCTCCACTTGCTCTTAATCCCAGCCGACCACATGTCTCTACGAATAGCTATATCAGAATTGTTCGTACAAGCCGGTCCAGTTGGTAAGTTCTAACACTTTGATTCATCAATAGTTTAGTGGAACTTGATTTAAAACATTAACTCCTTTCGGTTTAATGTTTTGGTTCAGTTAACGTCTACGTCCCGAAAGATAGGGTGACAGGTCTTCACCTAGGATATGGATTCATTGAGTTCTGTAGCGAGGAAGATGCTGACTATGTAACCCTTACTTGTTCCCTTCCCTTCTTTTGAATGAGTTTATAGATATCTTTCTTAAACATTTTTTTTTTTGTTGCAGGCAATTAAGATTCTTAACATGATTAAGATCCATGGAAAGCCTATGTGTGTTAACAAGGTATCATCTTTCTTCCTATATCTTTCGTTACTTTACTACAAAAGATACTCTCAGGGAACTACATCTCCTGCGGATGGCTCTTGTGTTACCCCCTCTTAGGAGTTTTCTGGTTGTAATTGTATTAGGCGTCTCAAGATAAGAAGAGCTTGGACGTTGGTGCTAACCTTTTCATTGGGAACCTTGACCCTGTAAGCATATATGATATCTTGGTGGTAACTATCCTCTGATACATTAGCTGATCAGTTCTGTGTGGTTACAGGATGTGGATGAAAAGATTCTGTATGATACTTTCAGCGCATTTGGTGGGATCGCTTCTAACCCTAAGGTCGAATCTTTATAATTTTTTCTGTATTATCTCTAATCATATGAGTAATATGTCATTATGGTTGGGAAAAATGAATGGCTGTGCGCTTAAGAATCTGATGCTCCGAACTTTTCATTTCAGATCATGCGAGACCCTGATACTGGGAACTCACGAGGTTTTGGTTTCATCAGCTATGACTCCATTGACGCATCTGATGCTGCTATTGAGGTCATTTATTTATTTTTTCATCACTATCACTTTTATTAACCGGGCTACGAAAAAGTGTCCCAATCACATATATAGCTTCTCTGTTCACCTAATCCAATGAATTTATATTGCAGGCAATGACCGGACAGTATCTATGTATATCGTCAAATAACGGTCTCTTACGCATACAAGAAAGACACCAAAGGAGAGCGCCATGGTACTCCAGCAGGTTAGTCTCTTCTCTTGTTTTAACTTATGGTTTCAGATAATTCAATAGAATAACAACAACAATACATTACTTTTGTGAATGCAGAGAGGCTTTTGGCTGCCACAAATCCAATTGCCCAGAAAAGCAGACCACATACTCTATTTGCAAGCGGCCCACCAACTGCTCCTCAAGCTAATGGTATACCACGTCCGTTTGCCAATGGCGGCATTGGTGTAGCCGTGGAATGGCTGTCTCTCCCTGGATCACTTGAAGGGGGCGTGGGTGGATGATAGATGATGAATATGGTCTCCTCCTCAGAGCTATGTGATGCTCCAAAGATGGTTTTCTGCTCCACTGACACAGGATCACCCTGCTTAGTGTCTAGAATGGATCACAGAGATAATCCTTGCAAACAAAGAATCAAAGA